CAGATTATGGTTCAGCGACCCGCGCTTCCGGTACAGAGAAAGCTTAAAAACGTCTTTTTTTTTACGTTTTCACTGCACGGACATTCAACTCAGTAGCGATCTATACTCGGTCGTGACCATACTGTCGGATGCCTGTTAGGAGCGAGATTGTGTATTATGATTAAATGTATCTTTTATAGGGCGGTTGGAAATAGCCAGGTGACGCTGTTTCGTATCCCGCCAACAACAGATACCACACAACTTGTGCCAATATAAGAGCTGTTTTCTTTTTTGGTACGTACCCTTTCTTCATTTGAAGTTGTCTGAGTAACGATTCGAAGCTTTGGTTTCAGGCTGTGATTTGTGCTTGCTTATCGGAGCTGTTACTTAACTTCCTTTATTTCTCTTGAAAAGTAAACAGGATAAAAAAACAAATTGAATTATCTATACATTCGTTCGAGAGTCATCATGCAGATGACGTCTAATCTCTAGCCCCACTGTTTGGATCTATTCGAGATACTGTACATACTCTTCCTCTATAGCAATTATTTGGGGACTTCCATCCAGTTTTCGCCCAACGCCGATGTTAGCAGTTTTATGACTCTCAATTAGTCGAACTACAGGTGCCATTTTTGCAGCGACATATGTATGTCGTATTTCTGGAGCTTCTTCTATGTTTATCTAAAATCAGGCGATAATACCCTAGTTGGCTTACGAGCTTTGTCTGTGGGGCTCCGATCTAAGCAAACTCAACAGTGGCATTTGACACTGACGTTTTTACTTGAAAAAAAAATGGATTGTTAAATTTAACAATCTATTTTTTTGTTCTATTTAGAAAAAGTAGGATAAATTTATCGAAAAACAATAAGCCGGCTAGTGGATCAAACCCTCAACTAGCACTCAATTCACAAAGGAGTTCAACTGTTTCACGCAGATTGTTTCCTTTCCCCCGTCAACCCGTCGCCGGTGAGGTTCAACTGACTGGGTGACTCAGATATTGGTCATATTTACGTGTTACGTCTGGGAGCTCTAGACCAATCATACATCAGCAACGGCTGCAGTGATGGTCAGTAAACAGAACAAGAAAAACTGACGGCCCACCTTGTATAAACTGACCTGTATTAATTTAGTTGCCGTTGCTACGATGGACGTCTTATCGTGAACGTACATAGAACGTTGCGCTACATTCTAGCAGGCGTCAAAACGTAAGAGTCGGTCTGTATGGCAAGCGCCTACTTCGCCGTTCGTGATGTCACCTTGTGTGCCTTCTCATGCCGCACCCTTACCACCCAACTGAGAAGCGTCTGTATGGTTCTCCCGTTACAGGTTGTGCGTTCTCGCTCGCTTTCTCCTTCGCTCGATATGACGCACCGCATCGCTTGTATCGCTTGACGCGGTTTTGCTCTGCCGGCACGTCTCGTAACAGGGAGGCGCCTTCCGCGAAGGTCCGGAACCCAGCGTTGATAGTACCCTTGGCACTAACTGCTAGGACAGGCGCTGGCGTCCTGAACTGACGAACCGTCGTATTTACCACTACAGAGCAACATGTTTGCTGCAATGGTAGTATGATAAATAACCTTTTTTGTTCACACGGATTGTGTAGTACGTGCAGCCAGCAACACTTGAAGCGATTCCTGGCCTCTTTCGACCGGAAGCTCGGCCTTCCGAGCCATCGCGTCGAGTGGCAGTATGATGACATCAAGAAAAGTAACCGCTGGGCGCCGTGGGCCACTGCCCCCGCCACGCTAATCTCTTGAGCGCCGAGCAGTAACGCAATGACGCTAATGTTTCTCTCGTCTTCTTCCTCGGACTCACTTTTGGCTTGTCTTACTCTACGCATTCTGAGAGAAAGAGCTATAATAACGACAAACAGATACTAAGTAGTGAATAGACAAGCAATCAAGCAGCGTATCAGTGACAGGCTAGACGCAAATGGAGAATGTCTTTTTGATTAAAGCACATATAGAATGCATTCATGGAGTCACGGCAGCCACAAAGGCGCTACAGGGACACGCCGTTTGCAAAATCCGCCGGCTGTGTCGTTCGCTAGCCGGTATACGTTTCATATGAAAACAGTGTTACAAGCAGCTCTATACAGTATACCTTGTAGAAGTACAAGTGTACCGATCAAGTCGATATTCTAATTGAAGGGAGAGTCACTATATGCTATATTGATGTTATCGTTGCACAGCGACAGTGCTGAACTGCTCTCGAAGTGCTCCTGCCCGCCATCGGATGACTCATCATTCCTACCTTGACGGTTGTCAATAAGCCGATTCGAATGTTATCGTCGTCCCAGCCGCAGTAGTCCAGTCATTATCGTCATCCGAAGATCCGCCCATACAGCGCCGTATAAAGCTGCTGTGTTGTTAACGGCACCATGACCAAGCAGACAACATTGTTATCCCAAACCACCTAATTACAACAGATGGACGGGGGAAACATCATTGGCCCCAAACACTGAAATACATATTTAGATCGATTATGAAACACGCCAACCGAAAATATTGTTTACGAGAAAGCTTAGAGGCAGCAAACTACGGCGTGGCATTATTCGTGATACGGTCCAAAGGAGCTGATACATATGTCAGGAAAGTAGATCAGCTAGTGACATGCTATGAAAAAAATGAAAACTATATTTATTTAAGCTACGTTTCCGTTCTCATCAAGATACTACTGACTTGAACTGAAATTTTTTTCCTCTAAAATACAAATTGGACTCGTTCGATTCGCGGTGCGTGAAAAGATCTAGTGACGTGTTCTATGAAAGAGTAATTTGCTTAATTCACTAACGTAATCAAAATGTATCCCTGGCATAAGTTTACACGTTCATTTAATTGGCAGAGTGAACGTTTCGGCGTTTCTACATAACATACAACAACAAAATACGCTGCGTATCGTCAAACAGGCTAGATATGAACAACAGAAGCCAACCTAAACTGTCTGCCTATCGTCAGTTGTGACAGTATATATATATATATATGTACTAAGCTTATGAGCCTTTGGATTCAATTAGGGATTTAATTGTTTTACGTTGACAAAGTGTCAGGGCGAAGCAATTCATTAATCACTTCATTTCAAATTGGTTTGAACGCGAGAGAAAATTGTGCAGCGGACAACTTGACAGTATACGCATTTTTTTTCTATCGTACTGAGTCAACTGCTCTGCTACCTGCTTTGCTTATTTTTTTCACTACGTAATATTGGTCAGCCCGCCTTCAACGGCTGATTTAATCGGCTCGAGCCGGCATATTTATGGTGATTTATCATAATGTCATCACCGAATTTCTCTAGTGCAACGTATACAAAACAGCAAATTAAATAAACTTGAGCTCTGCTGATTTTTCCATTACGGAAAAACCGAACCTTTCAGCGCGCAGCGTATAGTTCATACCAGCCGTCTGGATACTTACGTTACGCCCTTGCTCATTTCCCTCTACTGTAACCCCAGAGACGGACAACGCCGGGGTGTAACTTGACGTCACACCTGATATACCGTGCCTTAAAGTGTTCACTCGAAGTTCTCTCGTTACCTGTCGTATGTCTTGCTCAACGTCTTACGCGATCGTACGAGAAAAGCAGATTCTGTTCACAAATGGGTTGCTTCCATGGGTCCAGGCCATAATGCTTTATCCAAGCATACTGTGTGGATCGAAAGTCATGGAGGAATAATGACAGGGGTTTCATAACTTCTAAGCAAAATCACATCGGAAACTGCTTCGAGTTTAGCTTTGCTAGGTTATATGAACTTTTTCAAGGAACTGGATTTGAAATAAAAAAGAACGACAAGGGCACCCGTTGACTGTTAGCTTTTCATTTGGTTTAGAGAGATCGCTACTTATAGTTTAGAGAGGGAATTGTGATACTCGTCTGTTTCTACATTTTCAAATATTCCTTCTAAACTTTGACCATCGACAATATTGTGCGATTGTATTCTGGTCCTTGCGAAGCGAACGGCGTGGGCTAAAGTATGCGGCATAAACTGAGTCATCCAAAGTAAATGTACAATGGTTTTATACGGAAGCGAGACATCGTTGATTGCTATGGCAATTTGTGCACGATGATGAAGTACAACGACCGCTGAAGCTGTGATCTGGCTGATTATTTTTCTAACCGTCCATTGCCATTTTAAACACAGTGCCTTACAAGGCACTGTAGATTATATTAATGTCTTTATAATTGTTTTTTATCTAATTATACTTTTATATGTTAAATAGAGTGTGTTTTCTATTTGTGCATCGATGACATTATTATTACTATTTCAGCATGCATGCTTTTTATAAAGACATGTATAATATGTTGCATAGATGCAAAATGACTTCCAAAGTGTCAATATGTTCTACACGTATATGCGCCATTTGTAGCTGAATGTGAAATCTCTCATATATTCCAACTAGCCATCGCGATCATCTACCACTGTACGATTGATTATACATATGGGAAAAAACTAGGTACTACGACGGGAGACATTCCAAATATGAAATTTCGAAACGGTAGAGGAGGCTCATAGTAGTTCAAAGAAACATAAATCTATATGAATATGTAGGAAAATTGACAGGGTATCGGATCTCGTGTGGATAGTTTGAAGTAGAAACAACTATGAATTGGATGACTTATGCTCCAACTGCAAACAAACACACTGAGATTCTCACACCATTTACTATTAATCGTTCTTTGACTCCGGTTAAGAGGATGTCAAGGATCCTTTTCAGTAGATAGGAGACCGCCGTATATAGGAGGTTGCTTACTGTTGATATTTGTGTGGGAATAGCTCATCTCAGCAGTGACAAAATACAGCGATATATTAAAATAACTATTTGAGTCCCTAAACATCGAACCACACTGACCTGATATTTTGCCGTGTGTTCGAAAAACGTCGGACATTTGTTCGCAAAGAAAGATTGACCGATATAACATACTATCTAAAAAAAACAATATTTATCATATTTACACACACGTCGTATATAATGCTTATACGCAATACGCATATTGATACCACGAGTACCAATTGACTTAAAAATTCCACGTCGTCAGTACCAGCTGACATTCAGAAGAGGTGTGGCTAGTTAACGCGGTCATCGAATTTCTGACAACAACGAATTAAAAAAAGGTAAGCAATTTTTCTTCCATAATGGATATAATAAACGTTCGTTGCAAAGTATAAGTGCCAACTACTGCACTAAGAGTGCATATGTATGTATGGCTACATATATTTGGAGATCCCAAAAGATGCCTTTATAGCCCAACACGATATGGTTCGATTATGATAATGATAGTCAATGAGAGAATCATAGTACTATTCTAATTTACATATATATGGTTCTATTTCTTCTCCATAGCTGTTTTGCTAAAAGCATCAGAGCTATTTCTTATTATGAGATGCGTATAATAACAACTGACAGAACTCTGTGATAGTGAAGTTGTTAGATAAAAAAAAAAGCAGCGGCTTGTTTAGATTTATCAAAATTGGACTAATTTTATGCGGTTCTGGACTGACGATTATCAATTTATGCGTCTAATTCTTCGAGACTCGCGCCCTATTTTCCTATCATAACTGGTTTCAATCGGCGGATCTGCTCATTGATCTGAGAATGTTGAAATGTCCGCATATCTAGTTTATGACTGATCGCTACGAGATGATTATATCCCTGATAATATTGATGCTTTTGATATAAAATCGGTCTACAAGCTATCTTGTAACAGTAATGTCTTTAGAATTTAGTATTTTCAGCATGATGTGAAGTCTGACGGCGCCTACAAAAAGTAAAAATGACCCCTAGTCACGTTTTCCTTCAATCAAATCCTTGTCTAATAATGGGACAGGTCACCTTTTGTTATAAAGAGATACGTCGATGTAGTTAAATGTTGATATATCTATAACATACGGTGCTAAATTATATATACAGTTACTGTACCATATTAATGCAAGACGCAATCTTTTTCTTTCTATTTTCTACCTGAATTTTACTTTACCCAAGAGACATCTGCATAACCGTCTTCTGACAGATCAAAGTGAGATCTGTCCTTACAAATAAGCTAGAGTCGCTGAATTAAGGTTGTTAAGTCAGTTTTTGCGAAATGTCGAGTTTTAAAGGCAAGATAATTATTATCTTTATTATATCTATTTTTTTCTTCTATTTTTATCTTTTATATATCCATTGAAAATATATATATATATATATCCATTTACTTCCATTGAAAATTTCAGAGGTAAATATCGTCTATACCAAACGGTCGTACTTGTCCAATTTAAGCATAAAGCATTTAGAGTGACGTGCGGTGAAAAAGCAGATTTTCTGTCGGTAAATTCCTTGGATAGGCTACTTTTTATACCAATGTACCCATTAAACAAACAGTGTATTCCGCCGATTAAGGCGGGTGGTAAAGCTTGGAGAGCGAATACTGTCTGCTTATTCCTGCTCGCTGTCGCTCGAATTTTATCTTCCGTCACTGTCTAGATCAGCAGCATGATGCTAACAGCAACGAGTTTCAGGTAAGAGTTTTTTTGTTGGCAAGGGCTTTTGCAAAATCATTCTCCTAAAACATTTGACAGTCATGGCTAACACTATCTGCTCTGTCTTCGAAAGGAACGAAAGTCCAGTTCTTTACAAATGGGTAGATTAGTGCTAAAACAGGTAGCCATTGAACCGCAGCGTCCACAAACAGCAGCGTCTTTTAGCGATTGCTAACCCAAACCTAAATCAATCGATCCTTTGCCTTAACGCTGTAATATTACGTTATAATATGCGTCTCTTATGAAGGGATCCAGTAATGTCTTAATGATCGGTAGCTTCTGTCTCGGTTATACCCGCTATAGCAACGGGCCGACTTGATAAACAATTCCATTCATATGTAGTATATATATTTCATATATAGTACTATAAATAAGGTATGACATAAGAACTACATGAGTAACTGTTACAGGGTCCGAAAGAGTTGATCGAGCAATAACCTCTTGATAATCCTTACATTTAGGACCGGCTTAAACGTTCATTTTTTTTAACAGGATGCTAAACTGAAGGAGTACAAGCTCATTGGCTACATATCTTTCGTTAATCGGAGTATTGGCAGTTTTTGTAGAAGTGAAATTCGCAGTGTCGATTGTCGAAACACAAATTCGCGTAAATTTGTATGATTATATAAAATAATCATCAACGCTTATATAAAAGCATTATTATTATTATTATTCTATATAGTCATGCTTTTATATAAGCATTGGTTTTAATTAGTCCGATAATCTTCTAGGTTTGGTAGAGCAGACGTTTTAATTAGTCCGATAATCTTCTAGGTTTGGTAGAGCAGACGACATTGAGCTAACACTCGCTGCGATCGAAAGAGAACTCTCGGCGTTAGTAATAAGATTTCGGGCAGAAATAGCCGAAGGACTTAAACAGGACGATTACGCTACGACGAACTGTGTTTTATAATTGCCTTTATTTGAGACACTGATATTTTTATTACGATTAATAAGAACTACTAGGTCAGGCGTCCGAGCTCTATATATACAGCGTGGCCACGAAATACATCAACTATAAATGCGATAATTCGAATCATTATGTAAACAGTCGTAAGGTGGCTCTGTCGTCATCTGAAATTATTAAGTAAACAAATAGCAGGCTTTAAATAACAGTACTGAATCGATGTAGAGTGGATACCGGTAGCAATGGTTTTCATCATAATAACGTATTTATCTGATGAATTTAACAATACATAGGCAGATCCAGATTGAAAAGTATAACACTTTGTTTCCTAACGAAAGGGGCCAACTGCCATGAAAAGGACTTGACGGCTCAAACGCAGCTCGAAAAAATCATTCCTTAATTAGATAGTGAGCATCAGTAGAAGAGCAATTTAGGACAACGTGGGTACGGATTGAATGAGTGCACGAACCTAAACGCTCATGGGTAAAAGTCTGCTCTGACTTAGTTACGTTTCAAGCGTCATTTTAGAAATGCACTTCATTTGAGAAGGAGATATAGATCCTGAGAACGGAAAATTGGAGAAAAGTTCGCCTTCTCCACATCCGGCTTGTCCTTCCTCAAAGCAGTAGCTGAGCCGCAATAGCATAAACACAGTGTCAGTGTACGTTATCAGTGAATTACGTACGTCGCTGAATGTTAAAATAGATGTTTAACTTCCTATTGCTAAGACGTTCGATACGCAATGTATCGGTTTTTAGGACCTTATAATCATACGAATTTCACTAGAGTATAACACACAGCTACCTATATCACGTATATTTGCATCGAGCATAGTGCCGAGGCTCAGCTTTTCACGTTGTTCTAGACTTTTTAGTAGGGTAAAATGTCAATAAGAAATCTATTCATTTCAAACAGCAACAGCCATGTTAACTTATATATCCAACAGGGAGAATATACGATAGATTTTATCAGAATAAGTTAAGTTTGTTTTCTATTGTATTACTTATTATTGTTATTTTCGAATTGTATCGATGAAGAGCTTTATTCTTGATGGATGTTTTTTTCTTATTTTTTACCTCATATACATATGAAATGGTTCTGACGGCGAAGACAACGGTAAGTTTTTTTTTTTTTGGCTGACGAGAAATCAGCACTCTTTATTACAGGTTAGTTATTTTGTCTTGGTCTTTCTTTAAATGTACTTCGTGTTACACGATGCCATTCGTGCTGTTCAGTTAACAAGTTTCCACACGGCATTAGGTAACTCATCAAGTACAATATTGTTGTCCTTAGCTTTCTTTTTTCACTATTTTTTTCTAACTGTCCTAGCCTAGATCATTGTCTTCGGTCTATAGGAAAGTCGATGATGGAAATATACGCAATCTGGAATAGTGGTCCATTTGGTTTTCTCAACTTTTTCCTGCTATCAATTGGCGACAACAGTTTTCTAGCCGCTTTTTATAGTGTTCTTCTTGAACGCCAACGTGTTTGGAACAGGATCTCTCATAAACCATTTCAGCAAATTCAGTGTTTTACATCTGGGACAGACTTCTTCTCCATTAGTACAATGCGACAACAACCTTGGCTCCAAAGTAGGCTAATGGATACTGCAATACACCATGCTGGTATTAAGTCGTTAACGTACACTACGTTTTGAATATTTTTACAATTTAATTTACTCGTTACGGATGTGCTGCTGCTGCTGCTGCCGCATTCTCGTTCCACTCTAATGAATACAAATGATCCGTGACGGACTTCGTAAAATCGCACATTACAGGACCGTTTGCTTCGGTAAAGCATCGCAGGTAGGGTTTCCTCCAACTAAAACTGACTCCTGTTGTCTCCACTTCGAAATGAGCTTTTCTTTCCCGTGATTGCATTGTTGTTTTTCTGAATCAAATATCGCGAGTAACAAAAACATGACGATTCTCTGAGATGAAGACATTACACACAATCGTGACTAGCTTCGCTCTCCCCGTACACCCGCGTCAAGCAGCTCATTGGTCTCAGTCAGTAAAATTTTGTGGATCATTCACTGTTACCGACCAAAATAAAGTAATATACTGTATTATTTACATGAGCATCCTCTCTGCTCTATAAAGCTTTTACGTCCATGGCGAATAAAGCGGCTTGTACTGCTTCTACACGCATGTAACGCATCAGCTACGTTGGTCCTTTCGTCCTAGTGTTACATGTCTTTTTATAATGTTATCTATCTAACTTCAACAATAAATAGATTTTCCAATTTGATACACGGGCACGAACACTGCTCCCCCCTAGCTGACACGAAGATCGAGGATTTTCGATATTTGAGCCTGAAAACTGATCATAGTCGGTGCCCAGCCTCGCGTTCTCTCAACCGATTAGTAAACCTGACTAAATCAATAACGACATTAGTGTGAAATGTGTAGGGTATCAGATAGAATACAGGAGCGGCTCGACGAAATAAATATTTGCCAAACAGAATCGCTGACCTCTATATCACTCTCAAATTATCTATATTGAGAAAAAGTTAACCGGCTTATGTAAAAGGGAAGCTTCTTACCATCATCTTATTCATGGTCAAAAGTGATAAATCCTTATCCAAATAGTGTTTCTCTGGAGACCAACAGCGACGCAGTAATATTCATATATGTATGTGTATAAGGATGTGGCATTCGAACTGTCTTAGGAACTACATAGGTTCTCCTGCTTGAAAATAGTAACCTGTCAAGTTACTACATTCTTGATGTAAGCTAACTAGGGTTTGCGCGTCTGTACAGGTTCCGTGACAGATCTACATTAACGATACACATTTTAGGCAAATGCTATATCCTGTTGATTGTAGATCTTCTATCGCCATTCAGTACTATTTGATATATATAAAATATGAGCACTTAATTGAAAAATAGCTTAAATATAGCTTAATATAGCACTTAAAATATAGCTACAATACATCTAAACTATAATTACAGGTCAAAGCCTCAAAGCAGTACAACACGAGCGTGCCTTCGGAACTTTAATGCATGTCAAGTTCGGAAAAAACAAACATTTCAAGCGAGATTGGCCCGATCCGAGTATCCAGATCTTCTAAAGCCGCTTATCTATTTATTTGACATACTTTAACTTGCTGCAAGGGAATAAGATACTTCTCAAATATCTACCATTAAGGCGAAGATGAGTGGATACGTATTAGAAACAGCGACAGCCTACAAACTGATTCTGAGTACGGCGTAGCCGCCTCTAGCAATTTTAATGCTTCGTCGCTGTCTCTGGCCATAACTCATAGCTATAAAAGAAAAAGGCCTCCTATCAGGACATTGCTTTACGTGGAAGATACCAGGGGGAGGGGGGATTTCTCCCGCTTTGTTAAAGGGGTAACAGCAAGCTGCCAGACAGTTTCTACGAATGCGTCAACAGCGCGGTGTCGCACCGACATACATTGTTCGATCCGATAAGTTGTAAACGGTCAAAGCGGCCCTCATCAACTAGACCCATACTGTCTAGTGGCATGTTGACAGAATCTAATAAGGCGGTAAACACTGTGTCCTGTCGGCTTAATGAAGCTTTGTTCTTCTAGACGTTGGCTCGTTTAAAACGAATTAAAGGAATTGTAACCTGTATTAGCTGCTAAACATGTTGTCCTTTCGGTACAAACCATGCGCCTTATGAGCCTTTCGTTCACACCAAGCCATGTGTCACGTTTCTAGCTAATAAAGGCAAACGATATTTCTTGCTAGGCCATTTCCTATTTCTCGAAACTAAAAACCGGTTACTCAGTGTACGATCACTTCTTTGTCAAAGGACTAGTCTTATTTAGAAATTTATCAGTGGCCATATCGGCCCTGACTCAGGCCGCGCGGTTGATTTGTCAACCGGAATTTCTTTCATTTTAGTCGATAGTCACCGATTACCACGGGAAAAACGAGTGGTCGTCGTCGGCGGCGAACCATTGACGCTGTTGCCTACAACATTGAATGGCCATTTGGAAAACTTTGAAAACGCGATCTGTTTGCTCTACCGGCCGTACCACGTCTGACGTTGTCGGTGTCGCTAGTGTGCCTATCGTTCTTTGAGTAATCCTGATTCGATTGCTGTTGGTGTTACAGCGGCGTTCTTTGCGCGTCTTTATCATTTCTGCATCTATGCCTTCCGTCCTAATCCTTGTTGTTGATCTTCCGTCTGCTCATTTGTTCGTTGCCGACACATTCCGAACAATAAACGTGATATTTGCATCAGTAGCAGCAGCGGCAGAATCGCTCCGTCGCGCGCGCCACCAAACAAATCGCAACATGGCAGAGCAATTGAAAATAGCATACACAAATAGCTGACAACTGGAAAAACTGGAGGAGCATAAAATCGAATAAATACGGTCCTATGGAAAAGAAAAAGGCCAAACAGAGGTGCGGACAATTATACTTGTTGCTGAAGGCAAGACAACTAGATACGAATAGACAGGTGTGTTTTACTTAATCCGTCAATCAGTTAAGTTAGTTGATAATTATATGTAAGTACGGCACTAACGATGCGAATTGGGATTTCATAGTAAATTAGGCAATGAATAAACTTTATGTCAGCGTGTAAGTCGTGTGAATACAAACGTATAATAACTGCACACACACACGGTTAAATTGATATCGGCGGGCTGTAATCAGTGCCTGTGGAAATCATATGGAATATTTGTTCCCTTAATAACCAAAACGTTTCAATTCAGCACATTTAGAAACCCCACTATATCTAGATAGATATTTAACTGTTGTAGCGATCGATAACGATCGGGACTGAAGTCAGTTGATAACACCCACAGGTATGAGGCAGGTGGTTGGGTCTGTACTAATAACTTCTTGCAATGTCTAAGTTGTCTGAATCATAAGCATGAAGTCAGCAGTATACCATTGTGTTCGATATTCGTCACAAATACTTATAATTTGTTTTCGTTTCCGACCTTATGCAATGGTTAGCCATTGTGTAATGGACCTATTTCATAACATCCATTTTGCCAGTTATGAAAGTTCATGCTTCTAGTTTTGGCCAGTCGTAATCCTGAGGTGAACAGTATTAAAAGACGCTTACTGAAATGAACGATGCATTTATTTGTAAAAGTAGCAGTTGACGGCTCGAATATAGTCGACGAGCTGAGGTCGCTTGCCTTATTTATCTGTCGTCGTAATTTTGCTTGAAGTGAGTGAAGGTTTTTCTCGCCGAATAAGCTGTCATATTTGCAGACAAATATGTTGGAAAACGATTATAGGCTAATGTTGTTTATGGGACACGCCTTATTCAAATGCCGATTTTCATTCATAGCAAGCGGTCACGGTAGAACGTGTCCGGTGCCCGATCGTAGATAGAGTATGGGAGTTGGCATAGGCTAAGTAACGTAGACGGGAGCGGTCTTCGAGATACGCAAAATATTTATATTTAGGGGATACGTACAAGAAACTGCTGGCGTCTTGCTGAAAAACAATATCTAACCTTTGTTAAGAGGATTAGGCTACAGCTTTTTTTTTTAAATATACGAGATAAATATAGGTCTATTATATGCTTGCAGTAAATTTGATTTTTTTAATATTTTGCACTTCACTATAATGATTTACTAAACATTAGACGGGTACCCCATGAGGAAATAAACGATTTCCTGTAGGCTTTCGTGGAAACTGTCTTGCAGGGCTCCGCACTGGGCAGCTCCTCTGCGAATAAAGATATATATGTAAATATAACGAGTCTAATACGCAATAGCGCTGTCTTAGGGATATGTAGATGACCATCGGACAAATCAAAGTTTCTTTATCTGCATGTTTCGCGTTGCATCTGTGCCCACCAGAAGATTTTCTGCGACTGGTTCTTTGTTCGCTCAGTCTATCATTTGCTGAATCAGTCACACATAGATGTACAGGTAATCGTCGACACTGGCGATATTTCTCAGTCGGCAATACAGCACACACATTCAGAACGACTAGAAGAGATGGCCTTGTAGCAAATGATCGTATGATTCTTAATCAAAATAGACAATAACTCAGAAAATCCTTTTACGTGCAGTTCGATCTGTATTACATGCATGGCTAGATAGATTTCCCTTCTCTATTAGAGGGTGAATTGCCAAAAAAGATGATTCTATAAGGATTAGAAATGTAACAAAGTCGGTCATTTTGAAACCTCCGATTAGTCCAGCACACGGGTGTACAAACTGTGTGTTTAGAGTTGGCCAAAATAGAAGTTGACAGGTTTACTGGACATAATTTAGGTTCTTTAATTAGTACAAATTCTTGCCACGTATTCACGTTTTCTAGCAATACATATTTTTTCCTTGTAAAAAAAAAAGAGGATAAGTTTAATGAGAGAATTCATTGCGCGGGACGTACGAATACAATATAGTTAGCTAGTAGGCGTTATTGTTGTTGTGCGCGCGAATTTTAAATTTCTGCATCGATTTGTGCGGTTCGGTGATCGCTCTATGTTCGACTGAAGATAAAGTTCGAGTCCGCCAGGCGTCTGCTCGTAGATGCACGATGACCCGTGGATGGTTTTTTGCAATAATTAACCAACTTCCTCACTAACTGACGAACGGCATTGGGTGATGGGGTAGAACAAGACAAAGTATCATCAAATTTAGAAACGCAGCTGGTTAGCTTCCTTGAGTAGGTCATGTCGGTAAAAAAATAATCAACTTATTAAGTCGGGGTGTGCTACTTCGGCGCTGGCGAGAAACGGTAGCTTACCGTTTTCATTTATAGGAAAAGCGTAAGTGAATTTTAGTCATAAGCAATGCTGAACTTGCAGATGCAACAAAATAGACCGTAATAGAATGACACGCTCTTCTATGGGTGCCTCTGTTGCTGGCAAAAGACCCCATGTTAGTCAGACAATAAATTTTCATTTATGAGCTTGCTAATAGCCTGGTCTAGCGTAATTATTTTTTCCGCTCTGTAGTACGCCTAGATCGATGAAGGTACCAAAATAGATAGATATGGGAACTTTGTGGAATTCGGGTTGCTGTTTAATCACATTACAGAAGGGAATTGTCTTTAACTGAAAGAACGGCATGGTGTTATCATAAAGGTTTTTGGGGTGAAGTGCATAAAGGAAACTAATCTTTGACAATACGAGCGAATTATACCGAAAAAAAAAATTCACAGTGCATAGACTTCTTGGGCTTGTCGCTCAAATCGAAGAAAAAAAAGGTTAACAAAACACCACTTAGAAAATCTAGCTTGGCTTGACTAGTGAATTAGATGATCCAGATCCAAAACAAAGCGCCTCGATGCTGGACCAATCGCCTGAACGAATCCCAATAGCTAACGGAGAACTACAATAGAATGGTCATTTGTCAACACTGGTTGACAAATTTAAGAGTGAAGTACACGGAAGCAAAAGTATATTTACAAATAAAGGAAATCTAAATTAACAGTTTTAATAGTCATAATTACTCAGTATCAGATGTCGAGTATCTGTAAACACATGGCTAAAATAGAATAATTGATTCCTCTACATTGAAACAACTTGATTTTGGATTAAACTTTAACTGAGAGCTTGGGTCGTGATTGATGAAGTTTCCAGGCAACCTAATCGTAACATAAATCTGTTACGGGAACAAGCAAACATTTCGGATTGTATTTCGGAGTAAACAATCCGATTTATGTTTGCAGATAATTCGGGAATCACTAATATACGACAGACAAAAAAATAGCCGTTTCCTTAGCAAACTGGTTAATTCTCTAACGGAACAGATAAGTTAGATAGACCCATTTGATTTGGAGCGAATTGTGGCTCAGAAAACAGTTAGAAATAGATGATGTACGTGCATAGTATTCCGATATTTACAAAATAGACACACCGAATCTTTCCTAAGTATGTTTTCAAACAGTCTCTAACACACGACAATTGCAAGTACTTGAACGTTATAACGCTGCCTCAAGCTCTGTTACGATATTCATTTTTTTTTTTGGACTATACGACTTTTGCGGTTAAACAAAGCAACGAGTCGCTCACCTGTCTACTTCAAATGAGTGCTATTCGGGTGAAGTATGTCAGCTCATCAACATTGAATCTTGTGATGATCAGCTCAATAAACATTTCAGGTGAAGCCGTTATATGCGGAAACACATAATCAATAAAATCATGCTGAGGCCTTCTGATGTGGAGACCATACTGCTGTGGTCTTTTAACATCTTTATGAGAAGGCGAAGAACGAGTTGCGCCTTTAAAGAAAGAAGGAACTAAATAAAGTAAATGTGTTAGATTTTAGGTCCGCTGCTGGCGTTAAGCTACACCTTACTGTCACAAGTAGACAAAGGCTTCGAACGTAGACCGTTTCAAGTGACCCAAAGTTGAATAGACAAACAGGTCATTACCGCGACGTGTATATATATACGTTGCAGTACATATATGTAAGAATCCAATAAGCCGCAATTCCTGAAGAACCTAGACCACTAAAAATGTACAAGCTTAATACGGGTTAGGGGATGTATCTTCAGGAAATAATGCTTCCTGCAGTTGCAATCGAGAGCATAGTCTTCATTTTTGACGCCCATGAAAAAGTGGGTTACTCGACAATTGGCCGCGGGTTAATTGCTGTGCGAGTATTTTTTCCACAAAAAAAATAAGTGTATAAAAAATCACCAAAAATAGCTTATTCCGAGTGAGAAACAGATGATAAAGATCATT